GCGTACCATCAACAAACCGGTCATGAGACCGATAGCTGCTTTCGTCTGCGCCATGATGTACAAGATTTGTTTGACAACAAGGTCATTGCTGCACCAGTCTAGCAAAGTCTATCGTCATTGGATCAGTGAACTTGTAGGGAATAATATGATTATGTGATCAGGGGATGAACCACCTGCGGATGGCGCTCAGTTTACTCCGGATGTAGCGTTTGGCAGGCACTGTTTTGAGCATTTGCGAATGCTAGTTTTGTAGTTTCTGACTTTGGTATTGAGTCAGTTCTGTTGTTTTGTTAACTTGCTACTGGGAAGGCCCTGGCTCCACTAGATAAAGGTTGTGTTGTTAACCATTCACCAACTAGTAAAGTACCCCTTTCAAGGTGGGATTACTACTATGTATGGCAATTCTGTAATTCACCCTCTCTAAGGAACTACCACACCGGTGCTGGGAATCATGCACGGAGAAGAGGACGTATTTCTCTCTGGCAGAAGTTCGATTGGTCCAGAACATCATGGCAGAAGACGAGGGGAATTATGCGAGTGCTCAGTCTATCTATATGATGAACAAATAGGGGCATGTGCCCGGATTAGGACTAGGTAGAAGAGGCAGACAGGGGGGTACCGTTGCCAAGGAGATGAGTTATAATCCCCATGCTTTTGGGCTAGGATATAAACCTACCGCTACAGACTGGCAAAGAAATGGGGAGGAGTTGAGTGGAAGAATCAAAACAAAGAGGACTGGGAAGCAATATGAGTTAGTCTACAAACCTATACAGGGAACCCTGAACAGACATTTTGTCTGCCAAGAAGAAGATTTCCCTTTCTGTGGATTTCTGGAGCCTTGGTATGAGTGGTAGATGAAGACTAAGTATCCTGGGTTCGAAATCTTCTTCGGGCACCAGTTACCGGAAGAGGAGGATGAGCAGGCAAACCTAAGCATTGGTATGGACCAAGGAAGGGCTGTGAACCTGGTTATCAAAGAGGAGCTGTTGCTGAGAAAGGCACTGGCTGACATACTGGCAAGTTCTACTGTTGGAGCTGAGTCCGCCAACTTGGGGGATAGTTTTACTATCTCAATGATCGGGGATAAACTAGCAGAGGATTTTACTAGTCTCATCATGGATGAATTTGAGGCTCTGCGCCTGATCTGGAAATTTAAGAAGGGTATCGTCGGCAGTTCTGAATCGGATAGTGAGTCCGAGTCTAATTCTACTACGTCTGTGGAGTCGGAATCAAATTCGAGTTCTTTAGAGTTCGGCATCTCCGGGACTGGTAACCCGGATGCCAAAGTCCTGTCCCGATCCTCTTTTTCTTTTTCTTTTTCTTTTAAGTCTACTGTAGCTGAAGATCCAGACTTTTTGAATAGGAATGCTGTGAATGTTGCCTACTTCTTTGTGCCTTTGTTTTGTTGTATTGATCTTATTCAAAATTTTGACATAAATGAAGAGAAAGAAATTCCTTAATTTTTGAAAAATTTGGTTGATCATGAGGAGGAGAGGCGTGCTAAGCCTTGTATAGATGAAATCGTATCAATTAACGTGGGTACTGACGTGGGTACTGAGGAAGATCCTCGCTTGGTCCAAATTGGGTCCATGTTGTTTTCGAAGGAAAGCGAGCGTTTAATCGCCTTATCAAAAAATTTCAAAGATGTTTTTGTGTGGTCCTATGAAGACATAGGAATCGATCCTGAGATTCTAATGCACTGGATCCCTCTTGACCTAGAGGCCCGGCCAATAACGCAAAAGCTACGCAGAGTACGCCTAGATTGGGCTTTGAAGATCAAGGAAGAAGTTACCAAATAGATTGAGGCAGGGCTCTTGCTAGTATCTGAGTATCCAACATGGTTGGCCAATATTGTTCCAGTCCTAAAGAAGGATGCTCGAATCAGAGTCTGTGTCGACTTCAGGGATCTGAATAAGGCTAGTCTGAAGGATGATTTTTCACTGCCGCATATTGACGAGTTGGTAAACTTCACTGTAGGCCATGCATTGCTCTCGTTCATGGATGGATTTTTCGAGCATAACCAGATTCTGATGGCACCTAAGGATAGGGAGAAGAACGCTTTTACTACTCCGTGGGGCACCTATTGCTATCGAGTCATGCTGTTTGGGTTGGAGAATGCTGGGGCCACTTATCAAAAGGCTGCAACTACCATTCTGCATGACATGATCCACAAAGAGGTTGAGGTGTATATGGACGACATGATTGTCAAGTCCAAAGATCGCGAGGGCCACTACACCGCCTTGGAGAAATTCTTTCAATGGATCAGAAAGTATAGATTGCTGTTGAACTTGCAAAAATGCACTTTCGGCATAACAACAGGAAAAATACTGGGATTTTTAATCACATAGAGAGGAATTGAGGTAGATCATTCCAAAATTAAGGCCATCTTAGAAATGTCACCACCAAGGACTGAAAAGGAGGTGCGCGACTTTCTGGGTAAAGTGCAATTCATAAGACAGTTTATTTCCAAACGAACCTTGACTTGTGAACCACTATTTGGTCTCTTGAAGAAAGGAAAGAAGTTCCAATAGGACAATCGTTATTTGTTCTCTTTTGAATAGGTCAAGTAGTACCTGCAGAATCCTCCTGTGTTATCACCACCAGAATCGAGAAAACCACTGATTTTGTACCTGTCAGTGACAAACTCAACCATGGGGTGTATGTTAGCTCAGGAGTCGGACGCCAAGGTGGAGAAAGCCATTTACTACTTGTGTAAGAAAATGCTGGATTACGAGACTCGTTATACTCCCCTCGAGAAATCTTGTCTAGCCTTGGTATGGGCTACCAGAAAGTTGAGGTATTACCTATTAGCTCACTCTGTAATCC